GAACTAGGGGAGTGGCCTTTGAAATATATAGGATTAAAAGTTTAGTGATACTTCATTTTGAACCTTTAAAATGCTCAAGGACTGCATTTTTGTTTTTCTTGTGCATTGAAGTTTGGGCATATAATTAGTCTGAATTTCTACTATCCATAGAAAACCGAATTAAAATGTGAACGGTGTACATAAATTGCCCTTGCAATTCCAAGAGGTTCCCTTAAGTTCTGTTAAGTAGTCTGTCTCCATATTCAGTTTTTTCATGTTTTATGTCTCCTAAATCGGTTGTGTTGAATACATTCAGTTTTTTCTCATTGTATGGCTCGTAAATAGGTTGCACACGTGTATACCATGTTCTGTCTCGCATTTAATCCAAGTACTGGTGCAGTTTGGTTTAGAAGCACGTGGACTACTCTTCTAAGTTAAAAGTAGTAAACTCTTTAAGGTTATCAGCAGCTTTTATAAAGCTGGATAATTGCATTTCTTTCACTGTTAATGGCTAAGTTTGACATGGAAGCATGTTTTGGTATTGCTTTCTGATTATACCAACTGTTTGAAGTGCAAAATTGCTATCGAAATTAGATGAAATAAGCATGTCTCGTATGCCAAAATGTCTAGTTGGTATCTTTTCAGCTAGATGTGAAGTAAAAGAACAGCCAACACCTTTACTAGTCCTTTGAGTTTCAGTTCCTTTGGTTTTACTGGCTTTTGGAGCCTATGCTTTTCTGGAACTGGAATGCACCAGTTCCACACGTGTAAGTTTGCTGCCAATAAATCATATGGGTTGGTTAGCGGCTTGCAGGTTGAAAACTTGGCATATGAAGGGTGAGCAAACCATTCCATGATACTCCAAAATGTTAATTCCAGTGGCTCGTTTACAAGTTTCTTGCATGTCTTTTAATATTGGTTTTAAAGCAGTCCCTGTTCCCTACAATGTATTTTTGACTTGTGCCATTCCTATGCACAAAGCTATGATATAACTTTCCCTTTTACAAACTATACCTTATTCAGCCTTGGTGATGAACTAGGAATTGTTGGTGACTACTGTTATATTGCTTCAGAACCCTTGAATCAATTAACTTGCGCTGTCATCCTTTGTCTTATAATTTACCAACCTTGTTTGCTGACAAATTTTCCTATTACATTAGGATTTCTACACTTAATTAACTGACATTATTGTTTTGTCTGCTATCTTGTTTTTTGCTTGCTGTGATGTTTATTGAAGTATGTTCTTCTCATGATGTTTCTTTATTCATTTCTTGCAGCATTTTAAAGATGCCTGAGGGAATATCAGCTGAGGATCTTATGAGCAATGTCATGGAAACACTTTCCGATGGTGTGTCCAAACATAAATCTGTGTCATTTTTTGAGGAGCAGAAATCAGGCTCAGTCTCTTCTCAGTTAAACAGATTGTTTGGGCGCCAGAAACCAGTTCATCATCTTTTAGGGGGTGGGAAATGTAAGTGTGATCTAACAGTTCTTTCTGTTTATACGTGTTACAATGATATCTGTAGAGACAATTTTACATCTCATCTCTTGTTAACCTGTGTGTATAGCTGCTGATGTCCTGTTGTGGAGAAATAAGAAGATCTCAGCTGGTTTTCTTGCTGGTGCTACAGCTGTTTGGGTGCTTTTTGAATGGCTCAACTACCATTTTCTCTCTTTGATATGCTTTGCCCTGATTTTTGTCATGGTTGCTCAGTTTGTTTGGTCAAATGCTTCAGGCGTTTTAAACAAGTATTCTTTCTGTTTAGACTACTCTAAACTTTTTTCTTTCATCACTCTGATTCTCTATGCTAATACCTTGGAGTTTTAATGGCAATAGATCTCGACTGAAGTCCCACGCTTTGTTCTGTCTGAGGAGCTTTTTGTCAATGTTGCTAAGACCACAAGTATTCAGGTCAACCAGGGTCTGGGCTTCCTTCAGGACACTGCATGTGGAGGAGACATCAAGCAGTTTCTGATGGTAAGAAACATATTGTCATTATCTTTCCTCTACATATATGCTCTTTGAACATATTGACCATTTATTGAGGTCATAAACAATTCATGCATAACTTTCACTGACATTCCATGTCAGGACTTCTTAAAAACTGAATAAGTTTAATGTGTTCTTCTCTCTTCAATACCATTACAATTTTCTTCAAGCTTCGGTTGATTATCCGACACTCCAGGTAGCTCATCCCTCTGGCTATGAGGATCTGTTATGAAACTTAAATTTCTGCGTGCAACCAAAACTACTCATACATTACCAGTGATCCAAAGAATAGATTGTGGCTGAGCAACAATATAAGGTCTAGCAAGTCTTTGGTGTGTGGGTAAATGTCCAGTAAAGAGTTGAGGAGCCTACTATAGCAAAGTTGGGTAGGTTTAATGCCAAGAATCATTTCCTATCACTTTATCTCTTTTCTGTAAGAACTACTTATTGTGAATCAGGAGGTTGATGACTAAGAGGGATTTTGAAGAATGCTAGTCATTCGGAAGTTCAGTTTCCTAGTTAGGGGCATGGTAATAAGATAATAGGGAAAACATATTTCAATTTCAAAAAGCTTTGAGAATGTTTGTAACCTTCTAATTGCTGCACTCAAAAAGTTCGGGCCTGTGGGTGACTGCCATTTTGACACTGTATCCACTTTTGGCACTCAGAGCCTATTTGAAAGTTCATCCACTGTGGATGCAATCCCCTATGGCCAGGTTCTGTATACTGTTTCATTTACCGTTGGCTCAGACTTTTAGTCCATAACCTAACCTGTCCCTGCCTTGTAGGACCACTGTATGTCGCTCACCTTCTAGTTAAGCGTGAAATTTGCTGCTTTGCATTCCTGGAACTCCTAAAGATAGATATAATTTATGTGAATGATGATTGTTGTATCAGATAAATATAAAATCTAAAGGCAGTGTATGATATAACTCCATTGTTTATTTGTGTGAAATAAAAAGCTACACAGCTTCACACTGGGACATGCGCAGCAGACAGGAGCTGAGTCAGGATGTTTTACTTCCTTTTCAATAAACCATTATAATGTTATCCTGCTGCTATGATCTTGAAAAATTTGCTGGTTGACTGGTCTTTTCTGCTTCCTATATTCTTCTGTTGGTTTTCCAATTCTACATCATTTGTCAATCTCTATAATACTGATCTGCAGTTTATTTTCTCTGGGATTTAAGGTTTTTGTAACTTGGTCTTGTAGCACTATATCAGATGCACTGCTGTAAGAAATCTTTATGTCTCTTTCTTTATGAGTTTAGGTCGTAGTAGCCCTGTTTTTAACTGATACTTCTTTAGGCAACTAAAAGTCAGTAGTTTTCCTTCATTTTAGGTTATACTGAGCTTATTTGCTGTTGCCGTGATTTCAAGCTGGTGCAACTTCATGACTATTCTGTTTATAGGTAAGGGATCTCTATTTTTTGAACTTGTGACTTTATCAGTTTATTTGGTGTTGACTTCACTGACACCTTGTTGGTTGCTACATACATGGCATGTTGGTGTGTCTTCATGCACTGGCCATCTTTATTTATTTGTTGATAAGAAATCAGCAATCCTTCATTTTGCACCCAAGTTCAAATTCGGTCAACTTAAATATCTTGGCTACAAGGAATAGAAATCTGTGGCATCAGCAAAGAAACGGGCAAAGCTACAATTTTCTTCTTTAGAAACACGATCAAGAAGGAGTTAATATGTTTTTTTGGCTAATCAGATTATGCTGAAGTTCAGAGATATTATCTTGTTATTCTAAGTAATTTAAGATTCTGTGTAAAAGATGCCCTGCTTTATAGCATCGAATCCCTGGATCGAACATGTGGAGAAGGGATAGCAGGGGTTGGGGTAGGATGTGAATTGATGAAATGCTATTCATGCATTTGTTATGTGGGGTATGAGTTTTACGTGGTAAAAGTTTTCTTTATCGCTTAGAAAAATTTGATCTATTTCTTCGTTAGCTCCTCCTGCAGATAGATTCTTACTCTTGATTTACCATCTGATGCAAAACCATGTCTTGAAGGCTTTGTTGGTGCCCACACGCTACCAGTTGTGTATGAGAAGTATGAAGATGAGATTGATGGCTTCGTACATAATGCCCTCGAACAGCTACAAGGCCGTTATCGAAAGATGGATACTGGCTTCCTTAGCAGAATTTCGAGGGCAAGTTTCAAGGGAAGAAGCATGAATAGATTACATCTATTCTGCAGACAGACAGATGCAGCAACTTATGTACACAATTGATTGCCAACTTGAACTCAATGTTGTATCTTTGTAGAGAATGTAGCATCTGTACCTTGCATTAGTTGCTTTGCTTGAATTCACCCTCAAAAAATGGTACTGAACTGTTTCATTGAAGTCAATCATCTTGTAACTAGACATTCTGATGTTTGGCTGAATTTGGAATTGACAGTAAATACACAAATAATGGAATTGGAATGTTTTATAGTGTGACAGATTTTGGTATAGTTTTTTATCTTTTTTTTTTAAGATAAGGTTGTAATGGCTATAGATTAAATGTGATAGGCTTGTCTAGTTGATGAAATTAGGCATCCCCTTGATTGGTGTATTTTTGAAAAGCAAATGCATTATTGTCTTTCATTTTCCAAATTATACATTTATAAAACTCAACTAGCAAAGGTAATCTATTTGTTTTTAAATTTTTTAAGTAGAGAGGAGGAGGGGGGGGGGGGAATTTAAGAAACGAGGCGCGGAAATGACAGAAGATATTAGAACGTAGTACGTTTAATTTTTGATATTTTAACGTGTAAATGACATAAGACTTATGCTCTAAGAAGTATTTAAGGAGTGTATGCATAAATAATAATTATTAGTTTTTTTTTAGTAATAACTAATAACCAAAAAGTGAATGTTTATAAAAACTTATAAAGGCTTCACATAACCATTTTTTAGAAAATTAAAACCATGACCGGGTAATATTTTCGGATCCGGGTATGGATTAGGGGGTTCAACTAACATTAACGACCAATCCGAAAACATCCTTAATTAACCCTTTGCTAATCATCACACACCAACTAACACACAAACACGCCAAGAAACACACGCAGTGACAGACAGGTCTTTCCCTCTCATACTTGTATCTATTGTGCTTGCTGCAAGAAAACAAATTTCCAGGCTTTTCAAAACCCTAAGAGAAATTCCACCAAGAATCCAGCTTGAAATCTCAGCTTTGATCACAATTCATGTCATGTTAAATACGGAGAAAGTTCATTTCTTCCCATAAAAATACCAACTTTTTGGCTATGGCTTGGTTTCCGAAATTCTCTGCTGTTCAGCCTTCATCAGCGGCCCTGAAGATCTCTTCTTTTCTGGGTTTTATTTTAATTTGCAAGAAGGGTTTTGGATATCAATGTGGTTGTCTTAAGCCCAGTTCAGTATTTTGTTGCCTTGGATGGAACAACCAGTTTCAGTACTAGCAGTAGCACTAATAAGAAGCTAACAATGGGGCTGATGGGAATTCAGCTGGAGCGCAATAAAGGAGTAAAGTTATGGGCTTTAGGGGATTTCAACCGGGTTTGGATCTGCCCAATTGGCCCCCTGCCTGACCAGGCTTGGTTTCGCTCTGTTCAGCAAGATAATCAGTGGTATAATTTGTTGATTTTCTTGTATCATTAATTTTCTTCTGTTTTTTCTCTCTCTGCCACACACAAATTAACGTCAATGTGTGTAATGTTGGTGCATATGATTATTCGATGATAGTTGAGGTGTATACTACTTGCTTATTGTAGCCTTCTTTCATATGTAGGCTCTTAGTTGTATTGAATGGATTTTTTTTTAATTTTTGAATAGTTTCTTTTTTGGAACCAAAGGGGTTGTTCTTCCTAGTCCTGTCACATACTCGAGATTTATTGTGATGGAGAACATAATTAAGCCATTGAGATAATTTGAATTGCAATTTTTTTTTTTTTTGGGTGGGGGGGGGGGGGTTATGATAAATGAGTAAAATGTTTTACGTTGGATAGCTGAGTTATTATGTACTAATAGAATTCGAGGTTGTGTGATCAGATAGTGGAACTGAGTAGTGATTTATTGTGATGTTGTACCTATGGTCATTTGGAAATGACAGCTGAAGTTTGCTATTGGAGTCAGTCCAAGTAGTTAAGTTACTTTTTGTTATTGTCTTTCAACTTGTGAATGAAAAAGGCTGTTAGATGCCTTCAGTAATTCTGAAATGTTTCTATGAATCTCAATAAACTAGTCACTCATCAGTTATTCTGATAGTTTAAGGCGGGATTACCTTATTTTTATGCTTTGATGGAAATTTAGAGTTGTGGATCTTCAATTTATATGCTTGGAATGTAGTTGCATGTTTGTGTTACAGATTTGTGAGAGTTGGGGGATTTTTTTCTTAGATTGCATAGAAATGCATTTTGTAGATTCCTTTTCTCTCTGGCAGTGTATATATGTGCATAAGTCTAATCTGTCAACTATATCTCTAGATTTGTACATCTGGATCATCAAATTGAATTTAATCAGCTGCATTTTGTTCTTGGTACTCTAGTTGAGTAGGTTAATTTCTGGTACTTTGGTTCTCTTTCCTTCTAAGGATTGAGCTCTCTCTATCTCTCTCTCTCGTGCATGCACTCACACACTTTCATGCATGCATGCACTCTCACATGTTAAGGGAGACACATGAAGATAAAAACGTTTGCGTGTTGCTTAATACATACACTGTCTAAAAATCCATTGTATTTGTACTGTCTACATTTTGGATAATCAGATCTTGGGAACGTCTTTTTGTTCCTTCTCTAGTGGAATGATTTGGTTTCTTTCTACATTGGAGTGCTTCTACTGCTATCTTCAAAATATACTGGAAATTGTCTACATTCTCTTTTCTGTTTTTTCCTCTCTTTATACTGAAAATTACATGTGCAATCTTATGGCAATTTTCCAGTATGGAAACAAGATAACTAGACAGTTTTGTTGAAAAATTTGTGTAATCAGGAGAATAATAAAGCTAATGAAAGTTTGCAATTTTGCACAGCTATGCTACTGTTTACAGTGTCTTATAGTTGTGCATTCTTATTGCTGGACAATTACTGCATGCTGTTCAAAGTTGGATTGTGGTAGATGAAGCTTCTCTTTAGTGGTCAGAAACTGATCCATCAGGGTTATAATTTATTCATGTTAGATAGAATTTAGCCTTTTTAACCTATTTGTATGGGAGAGAAAAAAGAGTGATTCCAACAATTCACTTGCCATTACAACTCTTATCCAAACAGCCGGGTTTTAGCAGTAATGACTCAAGAGGGTCTTGGTAGCAAAGCAGGATTTTGCTCAGAAAGGATGTGGTTTTGAAGATTTCACTTTTTCAATGGGGAATTATCCTGATATGAATGGGAATACATAAAGGTTGTCAGTAGATGGTCCTGACTCCATGAAAAATCTTAAATGCAGCTAGTCCTTCAGAAGTGGTTAAGTTAATTGGGCATTTCAGCCAGTGTTGCATATGCAATTGGACTGAGTTTGTCCGCCTTCAACTATTTTCTGCATAAGTCATTACTTTCTTACAGGAGGCTTCTGAACTTTATGCAAACTCAAAAAAGTTCTTCAACATAGAATAGATATTCTGAAAAAACTAGCGACTAGGTAGAATCAATTTTGAATTCTACACATTATATCCGTTTTGAAAATGTGTTTTCCACAGGTCTTTGAGTTTGTGCAGCATTCACTTTTGACTACTATATTCTATTTCTTTCCTTTAAAGACATACAAATAATGCAAAGAAATATCAGCATTCACTTTTGGATCAGCTTGCTTTATTTGTATGTGTTTGTTGCTGATATTTCTTTCTAATTGTAGATTAATCACATGAAAGCGATGATAATACAATATCAGTTGTATATTTTTGTCGACCTACAACCAGATGGATTTTGATCATGGCAGTAGATGTCATCATTGAAGCTCCTTTCCAAAAAAATATTTCCCTATCCTGTAATTACCAGATACATTTCCTGAGTGAAAGGAAGTATTAGATGCCACTATTCGTATTCTGAATCAGATTTTCCAATATTTTTTCCTTTGGATCGTTTTGTAACATATAATTAGTATTCTGAGCAGTGTCATACTAGAGAACAGATTTGAGGTTGCTTTCTATTGTTGAATGTGAGATATCTTTCTGCATTACATCTCCACTTAGGAATTTGGTTTCTTGAATTTCCAAATGTTGGTTCACAAGATTGGAGAAGTTACATCCTTGGTCTATCAGAGTAGTTGCTGACAATGTGGAAATACTCAATGCAAAAATGTTATTTGACCTTTTAAATGATTTGTCAAGCAGTCTTATACTTGCCTTATTTCAGAATTTAGTTGGTCATTTAGATGAAAGGTGGGAGCTAGAATTTTCATGTTTAATGAGTCCTCACTTTTGTTGTTGGAACCAATTGAGAGTAGGCAAATGTAAATTGGGATTTTACAGGTGTTGCTGGAATATGAAGATCTCTGGTCTACAGGGTACCATCAGCCCACTAACCCTAGGAAACCAAATTTTCTAAAATTTCTTAGTAAAATGAATCTAGAAGAATGCAATTGCAGAATATTGAGGAATTTGGTGGGAGAAGGGGCAGTAACAGTTGTCAATACAACCATGATGGTGCATCCATTCCTGAACGATGTAATGCTTCTTGAACAAGTTGTAATGCTTTGAAACCTACTTGTACACTTTATACTCATTTACTGTTGTTGTGGACCTGTAAATGTCAGTTATGTCAGAGTTAAGTGGCGTGCTATGATCTGTACATTTCAAAATTTTCCCTGTTGGCAAAATCCTTAGCGTATATTGGTTGGGACAGTTTTACCCGACAACCATCCAATTCCCTCTGAAATTAATGAAAATAGAGTGAGTTTATGTCCAAATGTTGGAGCGGTAGGCGAGTGTGAATGCATTTAGTGCTGGTAAGCATGTGCGCCAAGACAGAATCCAAATACATAAATGTGTCAATTTTGTAAATAAGCCAATTTTTGGTGGTAATCTCCTGGAGTTTGCTGTAGGGTTTGCCTTTATATATAGATCAATCTTTTCCGTAAGCAGAGGGTGATTGTTCTCTTGGTCGCAGGGAGGCGAAAATGCTTCTTGCGGACAGGACAAAAGAAAGAAGAAGAAAGATGAAGAAGAAGAAAAGGAAGGATATAACTATGTGTTGCTCATCAAAAATAAAGAAGTTAGTTTCAATCCATCATCGAATTAATGATCTACCAGATTCATTGCCGTTTTGTCCGTCAGGGTTTGATAAACTTTTTTCCTGTTCAACCTCTTTGTTTGCTCTTTGCTTCATTTCTTTTAGGAGATTATTGCTTTTTCGGAGAACTGTCGCCTTAGTACTAATTTTAATTCATTTCTTTGTCTTTTCCGGTATTACCTTATGGAAATTGGTATTGCCGACAGTGCATTTGCCAGATCTACAGCTACAGAGTGGACAAAAAAGAAGCATTACCACCTCTTGGCACATTGAAGTGCTCCCAAATCTACAGCCAGTGTAAAGTTCTCCACTAAACATTTACAGATGCTTTAGATGTAAGGATACCTTTAATGGCCTAAAAACTGGGTGGAGAGTGGGAAAGTTTATTGTGTGTCGGGCTAGAATACAAGATGAAATAGTTGTCAAACTCAGATGGAACTTGTAGCTACTTCCTTTGTCTTGGTCTAGAAAAGACCCAGGATGTTCTGGCTTGGTTAAGTCGTAAATCGATCTTCTTGTGCCGATTAATTTGGATCCATATCTAATCATACTCTTGTATTTGTCCATTGATTTGGACCATATACATACCATAAATAGCCTAATCATGAATGTTAAACATATTATATAATTTTATATTCTGAATTAAAAGTCTAATTTGTTCATACAAATTTCGTGTATGGAAGCAGTTATAACTGTGTTAAAAACCCATAAAAAATGGGTCTAGAAACCCAGGTGTGACCTAATTTGGATTTGGATTTGGATATGTATCTGCTATTCCAACTTGGTTGAAATAGTAAACAGGCTTAATTCTTGCATCAACTCCTATCAGAATGAACGAAATAAGCATGATTTTCATTTTTGTTGCTTATGTATAATCCATCTGCCATGATGTTGAGGTGATCCTACAGTTGCATATATTTTGTAAATCACAAACCTGAAAGATTTTATTTTTTATTCAATCATGTGAAAATTTTCATTTATTTTGCTCTTGTTGTTTGGGAGCTATGGAGTAAGCTACGTGATTATATTATCTTTGATTCCATTTTGTTGTTGTTTGGGAGCTATGGAGTAAACTACATGGTTATACTATCTTTGATTCCATTTTGTTGCTTGTAGATCCTTAATTTATCAGTAATAAAATTTGAAACATGATTACTTTGACTTGACAGATCATGAAGCTTGCGTGGAAGAACGTGGTAGAAAAATAGACTTGGCTTCTGGTAGCTGGTATTCTTGTTACACGTGTCAAGAGGTATCTCTATTTCTTTTACGACCGAAGGTGTGAATTTGTTGAATATTGCCATGTATTTATGTTGCTTAACCCTTTGGTATATGACTTCTGTACTTTTTTCTAACAGACATAAGATATAATAATGGAATGCTGTCATAGAAAAATTATTTTGTTGACCAAACACTTAGGTCTTGGGGGCATTTGGATGTGGGAATTGTGTAATTTCCAAACTATAATTTTGAATGACCCTGACAAGAGGTCAGACATGTTATGTAACAGGAGAGTTTGGAGTAGCTTTTTGAAGATTTAGGTCATAGTTCATTCTTTACCTACTTGTTTTAGAATTCCCAGGGAGTGAAAAAAAACAAGAAGATGTGAGCTGTTGCCGTTGTACTGGTCATAAAGTTTGCCTAACCATAAAATAGAGGGGACAAACTCCTGAAACAAAGTTTTACAGTTTTATGTGAATAGACATTCCTTATTTGTGTTTTCTACAATTCCATTTTCATTCCTTTTGCTGTAGCAAAGTAAATGTTTCTAATTCTTTGCTCGTAGTTCCTTTCTACATGAGTAGAACATTCAATTCACTGTGTCATGCAGGTCTATCTAGGTCTTCAAGGACAAGGTGGCCTCATGAACCTGCTTCATGATGGAGCCTGAGGCAAGACGAGGCCGACCCAAAGACTAGGCAAGTATTGTGTCCTCTATTCTTTCGGAGGTTGTTTTCATTTTCTCTTTAGGAAGTGATGAAGTTTGTCGTGGGAAACAGGAACTAATTGCGCTTGAACTACAAAGGTGGGAAACAGGAACTACTTGCGCTCGAACTGCCAGCTGAGTTGCATCCAGTGAGGCCTTTCCATACAATGTGGACAACAAGCTGATCAGGTTAGTGCTTTGAAGAAGCCAATTAGCAAACTAAAACTTGGGGATGCTGATGGATGAGAAAAACACAGAAAGACCTAGGTAGGTAGCTTGCACCATCAAGAACCTGAGACAAAAGTTTGATCTCTGTCTAGACAACAGCCTGATGAAGAAGCTCATACATGGGAAGAAGTCAGGCTTGCTAGACATTAGAATTCTCAATTAACTAATTAAAATGTTAAGGTGCAAGCAGTATGTATAATCAACTGACAAAGGCTGCCTAGGAAGGAATGGCTTCAATTTTGGAAAAAATCCAACTTGTAATAGTAGTCTCTTGTTTGGAATCTTAGTACGTAGCTGAACACCATCAAGAACCTGAGGCGAAAGTTTGGTATACAATCTGCGCCTGGACAACAGCCTGACGAAGAAGCTCATATATGGGAAGAAATCAGATTAAGGTGAGAAAGAAAAATAGTACTTTTGATATACTTTTGAAATCAGATTAAGCTCAAATATGACGTTTGGTATGCAATCTGCGCCTCGACGATGCATTCTAGTTATGCAAATCAACTTTACGAGGCATGAGCAAAAAATGAAATAAAATAGAATAAACAGGAAAAAGTGATTGTAATGTCAGAGATCCCTGTTTTTATTTATTTTTTTTTTTTTGGGTTTTTGGGATCCAATTCCAAGCATACTTGAGGTGGATCCAGCGCCGTTTGACAGATAAATGACGCAACTGAATCGGGCCCAAGATCAGGTTCTCTTGAGTACTGGATCCATGCCTGGATCTAATGGCGGATGGTTTCGTAACTTTCAGTTCATTTTACATTTTGTTAAGGCTGTGTAAACTATAAAATAGGCATATTTAAATCCTGTTTGATAATTCAATTCATTACTTAACTTTAATGGATTCAAATCTTAAGATGTTTGGATATGTTTGATAACAAAAAACTAGAACATCTAAATAAATTAAATAACATTGAATTTTTTAGATAACATTTGCTCCCAAACATAAGTGAAAAGTTGTTTATTTATAACTTAATATGACATATAGTGAAATGTATCAGATTTAGTATTTAACAATTTAGTAATTTAATGAATTCAAAACTTTAGATTTCAAATTTCAGTTTTATTAAACAGATTGACTATTCTTATTAGACAATTCACTTATAAAACATATTTTTGTTTGAAAGTTTTTCAATTGTTCACGAGAAAATCAAGGGTTCGTGAATCTTGATTGTTTTTCTCAAGAGCATAGTTGAAAAAACCCGGCTTGGCCCAATGATCGAAACGATCAATCCAGTGAGCCGACCACATGATCGGGTTAGGTTGTTAATTAAACCAATTAAGTAACAAATCCGTTGACCAAATAACGACCCATAAATTCAATTGGTGAATTGGAAAAAAATCGTCGATTGAACCACCAACTCAACAATTTTATTATTTTTATAATTTAAAATATATTATTATATTATATAATATAACTATTGTGCAACTCGCAATTGAATTAGTGATCTGGTGACTCGATCACCTCTTCGAGTTGAGCTCGAGGCCAAAGTTAATAACTATGCTCAAGAGTGTTCATTTAACACTTCTTTTTTTGGATTACGCTTCCGTGTCAAACACATCAAGAAAAGATTGAAGATGCTCGAGTGTTGGTCTTTGGCTGTGTTTGATATTCTTGCTTCTTTCGCGTGCTTTTTAGACTTTGACTTAAAGACATCAAAACAAAGGTGACATAACAAGTCCAACATAATGGCATGTTCAAGGTACAAATCTGCCATCTAGCAGCAAGCCTAGGAATCATTTTCAGATGTGGTTGCAATTTTATTTTGCAGCCATCAGCTCAGTCGAGAACCTTATTTCTCTAAATTATGAAATTCTGAAGACTCTCAACCCACATTATATCTCAGAAAATTGTTGAAATTCATTCTAATTCATTCCATTCCTCAGACTGCAACTTAAAAGAGGTGTTCAATAATGCCACTTTCAAATGAATTTACATATATGAAGTGAAAATCTTCCATGTCACATGAAATTGACGAAGGAACTACACCTTTTGACTAATCAAATCCTTAAGCCTCCACCTACCTTTGTTTTCAAAGGGCATCATCAGTAAAAAGATCCAACATTGTCAAATTCTTCAACTCTTTAACCTGCCTTTTTGGCCAGTGAGTGCCACATTATCTTGCACGTGAAAATGCAACCTAAGAGTGTGCCTAAACTTGTGCAACCACGTGTGGGATGTGTTAAGCAGCCAGTTTGCATGAGTTCCCCCATGCATGGGGACCTCTCGTGCCATTTAGGAAAAATGTATGGAGACTAAGTTCACCAGGTCAGCCCTTTTTCTTCTTTTCACTTTCATTCTGGACACCATATTGGATTCTACAATAATATCTCTACAAGGGAACAAAATCATACTGGAAAAGAAGACATTTAAGACCGACAGCTAGTGCAAACATAGTGCGGACTAAGATTCAAGTTTGTAATGCCATTGTTCTTTAAGCTATAAATAGGTGCCCCTAGCTTGAGAGATCCACAAAAGCAAAAATTATTCCCACAAGAGAAAAAAAAGTTGATTTTGCTCTAATTAGAATGGTGATTGTTAAGAGCAAGAAAGTTTTTCCCACCAAGTTAGATGTCAAGGAAGATGCTTTTGACGATAATTGGAATGTTATAATTTTAGCAAACGAAGGGGATGGTGACGACGACGACGACGATGATGATGGCGGAGGTGTAGCACCAGCAGCATAATTACAAGATCTTCGGGTGGAAATGTGGTGCACTTATATTCTCTACAGAGTATTAATTGAGAAGATTATGTTTAGTACCACATATTTGTAGTATCAATCTTATGCTAGATGGAAATGAAGGGAGGGAGGGAGGGAGATAGTTTCTATGTTCTTTAACTCTCTTCATTTAGTTTGGAAGGGGACAAATTACTTCGTAATTTGTTGGCTTATATAGTATTTGGTAGCAGTTAGTCCTACCGGCTGTATCCTGTCATTCCTACTGGTAATGAGACAATATTATATTGTTGGATTTAATTACTGATGTGTGTTTTATGTTATTAATTACTCCATTAAGTTCTTCCTTCTTGAAACCAACCTCCTTTCCTGTGTTTGCTTGTTGGTTTAATCTTTCTTTTGAGATATTAAAATTTTATTAACATAATTTTAAGTTCTCCATTCTTCATTGTTCAACAACATTAGGCTCAGTAGCCTACAAGAAATTTCAAATGGCATCCAGACTCTACGGCTAAGCTACTAAAGTACTCTTTACTAGAGAACATATATACAGTACTCGTGCAGTATTTTTGCCTAGATTATAGACTTATTTGCACAAATTGATTCTATGATGATCCAGATTTATCTGGCATGATATCAGAAGAAAAGACACAAAATCATAATCTCTTTAACCTAGCTCACTAATTTGATTTGTTTCTTGTGTGTACCAAAAATGTTTCTAGTCAAATTACCTACATTAACTAATTACTTGAGTCACGTTTAATGTATTTGCTGCTATTAGTGCAAATATTATAATGAAATTATCATTTTTTTATTAAAAAAAAAAACTAGTTAGGTAAGGAACTTAGTGGAAAACAAACCTGAAACTTAGGGTTTTTTTCCCCTCTGAGGGAGACTGAACTTAGCACTTTGGTGAGCTGTTTATGTTAAATTCCAAAATTGAAATGTATACAGTAAATGGAGGGGATGAAAACAATGGATCGAGTGTTTCTCATGCTATGAATGGATAAAAAAAAAAAAAAAAAAGTTTCCGGGTGTGTCTTACCGTCATTAAGTTAAAGAGGGGAAAAAATCCACAGAATTGATATCATGTGCTTGCTTTAATTCCTATGACTATTAGAAGGCATCGGTATGCTTTACAGAAAGTACTGTTAAATCTAATATCTGCTGTGGTACAAATTTCCTGACTTAGCTACATCTTTGCCCCTTTCCTTTCTTATGCTGGTCTGCTTCCTCTTCATTTTCATAGAATGTTGTACATTTTGGACTAATCCCACGAGCCAAAAGAACAGTTGATTTTTCTGTAATTAGAATGGTGATCGTTAACAGAAAGAAAATATGTTGCACCAGCAGCATAATTACGAGAAGTTCTAGGGGAAATGTGGTGCATAAACATTCTCTATTAAGTGTTTATGCAGCAGATTATGCTAGTACCATATATTTGTAGTATGTATTTTGTGCTAGATGTAAAGGGAGAGAGTGAGTTAGTTTTTGATGTTGTTGGACTCTTAGTTTTTTTCTTTATTGCGAATCAAACTAGAGTCCAAATTTCCGATACTTGTATTTCTTATTTTCTTTACTCTTCTTTGTGTCAGATTGATTCCAAAATCCAGATTTATCATGCATGTAATCAGAAATATTAAAGGCTAATAAAATCCTAATCTCTTTAATCTCACTCATTTGATTTGTTTCTTCCCAAATTAAATACATTAGCTAATTAGCAACGGAAACTAGTCGGGTTACAAGCCTGAGACTCCGGTTTTTTTCCTTTTAAAGGGAAACTGAATTTAACACTTTTTTTTAAAAAAAAATTTTTGTCTTGGGTAAGTAGGTTGGAATTTTATTGATATAGGACAATACAATGCATAAAAGTTTCAACCAAGGACGAACTAGAAGTCCAGATTTTTGGGGAGCGCAAAACTAGTGAAGATGTACATCTGGGGGGCACCCTTGCATTTGCATAAAAAATTGGGATGCAAAGTCTAATATTTACAATGATATAAGTGGAAACCTTTAACATTATAGAGGGATATAGGAGGATTTCAAAATCTTGGGGGCAAAGTCTGATTTCTACAAGGATATACATAAGGATTATTAAAGGATTTCTGAAAGTCTTGGGGGAGCAGCTGCCTCCCCAGCCTTGCATCAGCCAGTGGATTTGCATAGGGATTAAGTTTTGGATTAAGCCCACTTTGCATGCCATAACTTAATTACCAATTCCAATTTGCATCACGAGCTTTAGCTTTGGACAAATTGCACCATATAGCTTTGAGATCTATCCCATTTTGGCCCAATCACAGTTTAGAGAAAATTGACAGAATTTCTGCATATGAACAACAACAAACATCGACTAAAAACATTCATGAATTCCATGAAAAATTATAAAGGGGATCTTCTTGCCTTTGGCTAATACCTTCATTTGATTTGACAAAAATTTACGGTTGATGATCTAGATAGGGTTTCAAGTTCCAACTTGATGACTTCAAGCATGAAAGACAAGGGAAAGTGCATTTGGGATGTGGAGAAAAAGTGAAATGTGATGCTAATACTTCATGCTGTAAACAAGAACCTGGAGGAGTATGTTATGAATTTGGAGAATCAGTAGCACTAATGAAGGCCATTAATATGCCAATGTTAACTGCCAGAACAAATTTTTATTCCTTACGGGGGACAACTTTGCATCTTTATAATACAGAACAATTTTGCAATTAAGTTATTCATTCACATATACAGAAATTGGGCTGCAAAAATCTAGTTCTGTTAGAGGTCTCAGGAATAGGGTAGGTTGTAGGTATGAGTAAAGAATTGAGATGCATCAAATAAATTACCACCATAATACTTGTAATCTTCATTTTGGCATGTGTATATATATGTTACTTGAATCTTGTTTTTGGCAGACAAAATGACAAATTCATGAGTGGAAAATCGAGATGCATCAAATAAACACCACACACAAACTCATGCTCTTCATTTGCTACGTGTGTGGCATGCATAAATAAGGATGCAATATCTCGAGTTTGGGGCATGTAAAATTCCTTGTGATCCATATCAAATTATCAATACAAATGTCCGCCTGTGGATAGAAACTCGAAGCGTCACTTTTGCATTCCAGTACGACTTTTGTGCCTTATGAAGTAATGTCAAGGTTAGAGGTTAGAGGCTCTTATGAAA